TGAAACTCCATTAACTTTTCGGAATCAGAAACACACAAGTCTCTGTGGACAGGCAGCACATGAACTGCACTGACAGGGAACTGAACCTGGGTCATGGAAGGCAAATATTTTACCACTGAACCACCAACAAATCTTAGCCATTGTTGTTATTACCAGAATAATGTGATTGAGATATGAGAGGCTTGGGCTAAAGAATGAGTCTGGGTGGGGTCAGACCATACAAGGCCACATTAAGGAGTGTGAATCTTATCCACAAGGAACAAGAAAGCCTTTAAATGACTGTGAAATTGAAATGGCATGCTCAGAAGTATGAGAGTGGAGACTCCAGGCTACTTTATTGCAGAAGCCAAAAGAAGGAATGACCAAAAAAAGTGAACTTGGAAGCAAAGAATGGTGGTTGTGCAAAGTGAGCGGAGAGAAATTATGGGGCAGACTGAAGGAATGTTGAGGTAATGCAGCACTAACGGACAAATCCCAGCAAAACATTGTGGCCAAACAAACAAGTCTCTGGCTTGTGAACCCTGGGGGAGCAAGCTCTAGATTTCTTGGAGTGATTTTTTTTTTTTCATTTTATACTGGCTTATTTACAAAGTTCAAATACATTGTTTTTCACACCAGATCTTTCCCATTTCCTTCATCCGCCCCCCAAGAGTGATTTTTAACTATATTGTGCTCAATATAGAATCATGCCGGCAATTGGCTTAGTTAGCACTAAAGAGCAAGAGAGTCTCTGGACTAAGGATCTTTCCTCATTTGGTGGCTGGGAAAGTCACCAAAAACTCTTTGATTAGTGCCCCTTTCCAGTTGTGGGGAATGCTGGGGTAGGACAATGATTAACATGCTTGAGTGATAACCAAAAGCTTGGAGTCCACCCAGAGACATCTTGGATGAAAACCCTGACAATCACATCAGGCCAACAGGAGAAGTCAACATTATGGCAACCAGTTTGGTTTGGTTTAATTTGGTTTGGTTTGGTTTAACTGTTCTTGGGGCAAGGCCAAGTCAGAAATCTAGAACCTGTTCCTGGGAAAGGAGGAAAGAATGGAAACTTAACTGTTGGGTCCATACAAAGAGTCAAAATTTGCTCCTGACAGTTTATAGATTTGAGCTTGGTGGTTGTTGTTAGGTGCTATTGAATCAACTACAACTCATACAGACGCTAGGAACAAAGGATTTGAATGAATTTTGCCCTGTCCTGTGCCATCTTCATCATCATTCTTGAGTCCTTCATAACAGTCACCATGTAAGTCCATCTCATTGATGGTCTTTCTCTCTTTCACTGACCCTCCACCCTTCCAAGAATGATGTCCTTTTTCAAAGACCAGGCCCTCCTAACAACATGCCCAAAATATGTGAGAAGAAGCTTCACTATCTTTGCCAAGGAGAATCCTGGTTGTACTTCTCCAACACATATATATTTATTCATTCTTTTGGCAGTCCATGGGATATTCAGTACTCTTCTCCAACTCAAAGGCATCAATCCTTATTCTGTCATCCTTAGTCATTGTCCAACATTCATATACATAATAAATAATTGAAAAGACCATGACTAGAATAAGATGCATCTTAGTCTTTAAACTTATATCATTGCTCCTTAAAGCCTTAGAGAGGCCAGTGGTAAAGTAGTAGCTTGCTCAGAACCCAGCAAAATGGAGCTCGAGGCCATGAGCAAATATACCAGCCTGGTGAACGCAGCTGTCTTCCCCCATCTGACCATGGTGCCATTGGCCATTGGCATGTTCTTCACCGCCTACTTCTTCGTTTACAAGGTAGCCTCTACCAAGTACATACGGGACATCTACAAAGAGTTGCTCATCTCCTTGGTGGCCTCACTGTTCATGGGCTTTGGGGACCTCTTCTTGCTACTCTGAATCAGCATCTATGTATGACTGTCAAGGGTATGAATCTAACAGCTTCACTGAATCCCTGCTTTTGTAAATTAGTATTTTTTTTTTACTTTTATTATTAACTCATGGTGGAAGCGTCCCACCTTCTGCCCACAATAAACACAGGTGTGTGATGGTTAAAAAAACAAACAAACAAAACCCACAACAAACCAAACTTAAAGAGGTCTTTGGCTGTAGACTTCTATAGTACAGTGAGTGCATCTTTTGTGTTTTTTTAATGGAAAGAGTAGACAAAGCTCCTTTCTCTTTTTCTTTTTTAAATTAATTTTAATGAACGTTTACAGAGATTTAAGGTTTCCAGTCATTCACTGGTGCACTTTTCTCCCCCTCCCCCAATCCACTCTTCTTGAAAAGAAAGAAAAACTCTTTCATTGTTATGCAATCCCTCCCCCCCTCAAGCCCACTCAACCATGCAGCCTTCACTCTGGAGTTCTGTAATGACAATAATGCCCATTCATATATCCCTTTTAAACCGTTTTCTCCCTCATCTGTTTCAATGCAATATACATCATTCCTCCCCTCCTTTTCTGTCTTCCCTCAACCTTGATGTCAGTCCCATTTTACAACAGTGGCCCTATGCAATATTTGTTCTTTTGTGACTGAGATATTTCACGCAGCATAATGTCCTCCAGGGTCATCCATTTTGCATAATATTTCATGAGTTCCTTGTTTTTCAATGCAGCATAGTATTCCATTGTGTGAATATACCACAGCTTCTCTATCCATTCGTTTGTTGATGGGCACTTGGGAAGTTTCCAGCTCTTTGCTATTGTGACTAAACATGGGTTTAAGGCACAATAAATAATAAAAATAAATAAATAAGCCCCAATAAAAAAGGGCGTGCATATATCTGTTTGGGTGACAGTTATGGTTTCTTTAGGGTAAATTCCCAGTACTGGAATTGCTGGGTCAAATGGTATCTCTATTTGCAAATTTTTGGGAAAGTGTCATACAGCCTTCCAAAGTGGTTGCACCATTTTACACTCCCATCAACAGTAAATAAGGATTCCAGTTTCTCCACAACCTTGCCAACGTTGGATGTTTGCTGTTCTTACTGGGGTGAAGTGATATCTCATAGTTGTTTTGATTTGCATCTCTCTTAGAGCTAGGGATTTTGAACATTTCTTTATGTGTTTGTTTGCCATCTGAATGTCTTCTTTGGTGAAGTGTCTGTTCATATCTTGTGCCCATTTCTTAATTGGGTTATTTACCTTTATCTTGTTGTGGTGGTATCTTTTGATTTTTTTGACTGTTAGTGCCAATGTTGATTGTGGATCCAAGTAAGATGAAATCATTGACTACTTCAATCTTCTCCCCATCTATCATGATGCTGTCTATTGCTTAGGCCCCATAATAACATTTTCTTATGAAACTAAACATTTTCTTATGTCACATTTTGTCTAGGAAAGTGGTAGAGACTAGTTTGGCACATCTATCTTCCTTTACACACACTGACTGTCAGGATGTCCAACACAAAACAGGAGTTTAAAAAAGAACTGATTAATGAAATAATGTATCTCACATTGCTTGCCCTATCAGAGCACCTTCTTTCAGCCACCTGCCAAAGCAGGACAGAGCCAAATTCCAAAGCCATCTATCTATTCAGGTCAGTTTGACAAGGCCTTGTTAGCACACAAAGTCCCTTTGGCCCCGAGAGAATGCTGATAGCCCTGATCAACTTGAATGAATCTTTGGGCTCTAGGTCCACTACTTCAGACCTGCTAGTAGTGGTCTGTGTCAGGCCTAACACTTCCTAAGATATGAATCTCAGGATAACCTACCTGGCTTTTATCTTAGTATAACTCTTTCAGGGAAGTACAAGATGTAATCTGGCATTTTCAAAGAGGGAATTCCTCAGTATCTGGGGTAAAAGTCTTATGTGAAGGATTCTTGAAAATGTTTCACTTTGAAAATGTTCCTTTCTTCCAACCCTCTGCCAGATCTGACCCTGATGTTTGGATGTTCTCTACTAAGTGGGTGAACTCTTTTTTCTTGGACCACTCCACAAAGTGTGTAACTTTTGTCCCCCCTTTATTTTGTGGTCTTCATCCTATATTCTGAAAGTCTGATTCTCAGGGTACTTTCATCTAATAATCCTTGGGACTATCACTGAAGTATGAGTCTTACCAACCTGCTGCTGTGCTGAAGCCTTACAGTGAAGCTGCAGATCCATTTCCTGAGGCTGCACAGTGTGACCTATTTCCTACTTCAGCCAACTTGTACCACTTGAGTGCCCTGCACTCAGCTCTACCCCCCATGTGCACAACGCAAACAGAATAGCCCCTCATCGTTGTTTGTGCTTTACAAGGTGCCTGTTTATGCCTTAGATCAAGACAACAGTCTTATGATTAAAGCAAGGATAGTATTATTCTTTAATAAATTATTTCTGATATGCTTTTGTAGAACATTTGGGAACTCTTAAAAAGTACATCTAAGAGCCCTGGTGGCATAGTTGCAGGGAGCCATGCTGCTGACCCAAAGAGAGAGCCTCCCTGCCAGTCTGGATCCGCCAGCAGTCTTGCAGGAGAAAGATGGGCAATCTCCTCCCTTGAGACTTACAGCCTCTAAAACCCACTGGAGAGTCAGCTATGAGTTGGTTCCAACTCAACAGTAATTGAGTTGGGTTCTTTTCTTTAAGAGGCACAGGGTGAGGGAAAGCTCTACTAACTAGAAATCACACCAGCTACACTATATTTTTATTTCTTGTCTCTCAATTTTTCTACATGCTAATTAGCACATGTTTCCTATGCTGTCCCCCTCCTTTATCTATCCTGCTATGAATCACTTTTCTAATTCTTCAACTCAAGTATTATTAGCCTCACTCAAATGATGCTGAAAATGTAAGCAAATAAATTAATAAACAGTTAATAAATTGTAGAACTGAACACAGGTCATCTCATCTCTCATTTAATGCAATAGTGAGAATTCTTCACATAATTGTTTCATGCAGAAAGATAGATGAAATTATTTAGTGACTGTGTGTATATGACATGATCTGGAAGGCCGAGCAACTCTTATCAGGGTCCTAGAAAAATTTCAACAAGTCTTTTATAAGGAATAATACTGTTTTCATATTTCCCTCTGTGCCCTCAGATACTAGAAAGCTGACAAACTTGATGCAAATGGCACATCCAAGGATCAGTGATGTCACCAACAGCATGGAGCACGCCGTCGTGTCCCGGAGTCCTCGAGTTCGCTACAATCCTGGTCTGGATGTCAAACTCCTCTACATCCCCTTGTCTAAGTTGCCCACCCGTGTGACAGATTTCATCCTGAGTCGATACCTTCCAAGACCAGCAGATAGTGTCTGATCCGGGAAGGCTCCTGATTGGTCAACAGAATAGAGAGAAGGCAGAGGGAGAAGAGACTTTGAACTCACACGAGACAGCCTCTCATCAGACATCCTCTGGTTTCTGCCTACAAAAGATGCTTTGCTCAACTGACTGCTGGGGTATTTAGGAGTAACTTTGTAACAGAAGGCAGTGCCTCTTCCAATCTGCTGCGGACACCACAGAAATTTGGGATGGCCTTTGCACGTTCAGAGATGTGGAGAGTATGGCCCCAAGGATGTCACCCCATATGGAGATGACATTTCCTGAATGATAAAAGTCAAAGAGAGACCAATCAACTGCTACTAAATCATGATCCCCTTCCACTTATCCATCCCACTGGGAAATACCATAGGATTTCCTTCTTCTTATTGGGTCTTTAAGTACCCATTAGCCTCCTTTGTATAGCCATTAATTTGAAATATGTAATGGAGTAGACAAGGGAAGCAAGACTATATTAAGCAATGGTTTAAATTATTCTCTCTCTTGAGATGTCTCTCTTCATAGGTGACTGGGGTTTAATTAAATAAGCTTTATTTATTAAATCACCATTGATTAATTCTTCAGCTATTTATTATCTACTACATACCAGGCATGTTTAAGTGCTGAAGGATACAAAGATGATTAAATCATGGTATAAAAATTATGTTGAAGTGATGTTAGCTGACTTCCTCTATCTTTACAAGAGGGAAGGAGAATCAGCATGAGCCACCCAAAACTGCTTCCTAGATCAGACATGCCTCCATATTCCCTTGTTATCAATTCTAACACTAATTGTTCCTCTCATCATACTCTCTGTTTACCTATGGAGTTCAAGAACTCATTGCAAAGGCCACACAGAACCCACAGGCCATACTTTGAGTTACAAGATTTACTAGAGAAGTCAAAGTTTACAAATCTGGATGAGGACATAGTTCTTCAGTCAGGAATGCCCTTCAGCCATGCCCACAGACAGACCTCTCTCTAACCCACGGGCTAGTGGTGTGGCCCCTGATCTGCTTAAGCAAGTGTTTAAAAGCTCTTTTAGTTCTGCTGATTCCAGGTCCAAAAAGCACTCTACTCCACTAGCAAGCCTAGTGCTGAAGGGTCTCAGCTCTAGCTCTCCTGGCACATGCCCACAGGCATTCTACTCCACCAGCGAGCCTTCTGACTAAAAGCATTTAGTTTCTTAATCCAATGGCGGGGCAGCCTGTTGCTGCCTTGCACCAGGACAGTTTTTCTACCACAGCTTCTTTCTGTCTCTTTGGTGTTGCAGCTCTGCTTTCTGGGTCAAGGAATTTCAGTGCTGGAATCTCAGGCTCTAAGGATATGCCTAACTCCTGGCTCTTTTTTTCTTCTTTTTTTTTTAAATAGCAGTGAGATTTCCCTTTCTGCCTCTGGGAAGGCTCATTTTAAGCATAACATATTTAGCACAAGAGCTAACCAACCAATCTCCACTTTGGAGTTCTGTGCAACTTATTGCACAGTCCCACTTCCACAACAGTACCATGTCCCTTATTTATATGATTAGCAAGTAATCTAACTCTACTGGTGAGCCACAAACACCTCCCATTTGTATGGTTCTACCCAGTCATCTACTGTCAATGATCTCTCCAATGTACTAAAGAGCAAGGATTAGCCTTTCTCAAGTAAGTCACAGAACTACATTTTTAAAAAAATAAACTTCTGGGCAATTTGGACAATTAAAACAGACATGGGGGGGGAATAAACTTCTGGACTACATTTATTGGAAAAAATCTTTTAATCTTGAGAAATTTTCACTAATAAAACCCAAATATGAATGTTTTTTATTAAAATGTCTCTAACTTAAAGATATATTTGATTGTTAATACCTGACTGAACTGGAACATTTTTAAATAGTATTTAAGAAAATATAATACTTCATTCAGGTTCTCCCTCAGCAAGATGAATCTTTACCTTCCCATTCTCACCCCATTATTTCAAATTGAGATTTTACTTATGTTAACTCTCAGTATGGGATCAGGTATAGGCTAGAATTTGACCCTTCTTTTTTATGGTAATTAGTCACATTTCTTCCTCTTCTTTCTGAAAAAATAAATAAGTAAATAAATAAACACCTAATTAAGAGATATATGTGTTGTTGCTGTTGTGTGAGTCGGAACCCACTCATAGCTGACTCTTCAGCAAGTTTTCAGAGGCAGGAAATTTCACTTGAGAGATTTTCCATCTTCTCCCAAGAAGAAGCTGGTGGATTCATGCCTTTGGGATTGCAATACTGGTTCTTACCAGTAGGCCACCAGAGCTCCCTTAAAGACATATATATGGAGATGAAAACATCAGTTTGTACTAGAATCAAAATCAGTTTGTACTGGAGTCATTAGAAAATGCAGTTCAAGTCTCCAGGTTAGACCTTGGGATGACCTACCCAAGGGAATGCCCATTTGCAAAGCAGACACTCAGAATAATGACCTCCCACCCATTGGGCACTGAGGGTGCAGACAGAACAAGAAAAGCCTGCAGATCTGGCCCTGAAGATAGGCCAGAGTCTTGGTCCTGCCCAGATCCACTTGTTCACATGGAAGGAGAATGTCTACAGAAGGGTAGAACCCAAAGACAAAAGGAAGGAGCCATACATACCAGTTTTCCCTGTCTTACCAAATAGGTCACAGCTACTCCTACTTCTTAGGGAAAGGACTAGAAATAACCTTCCTTTTAAGAAAGGGTGGAAGTCTTTAGGTTGTGCAAACTGTTATTATTGCATTTAGCTGTTAACCAAAAGGTCAGAGGTTCAAGTCCACTGATCTATCTCAGAAGAAAAGACGGAATCGAACATTGAAAACCTTACAGAGCAATCAACTTGACAACAACTTATTTATAAAAGAAGGAGGAGCAGAATATAGCTCGCCCACTCGCAACACTTATAGCACCAGTGCAGCTAGAGAGACCCTGTGGCTAGGGAGTTAATTTAGAGACTGGGGAAGGTAAATGGCTCTACAATGTCAGAGTCTGTTATCCTATTGTTGTTGTTATGTGCCATCGAGGGATTGTATACCAAGAAGAAGTTTATCTTTTGCTTTCAAAGAGAGGGGTGAAGTGGGGGAGGGGTAAAGAAAAAAGTGCAACAATGAATGAAAATCCAAAATCTCTGTATATGTTCATTAAAATTAATAAAATAAAATTTTTTTTAAAAATTGTCATTCTTGCCTCCAAGAAGCATTCTGGCTGCACCTTGTCTAAGATATATCTATTCATTCTATTGGCAGTCTATAAGATATTCAATACTCTTCTCCAATATCAGGAAGCTCTGGTGGTCTGGTGGTTAAGAAGCTAAACTGCAATTCCAAAGGCATGTGATTAGAATTCACCAACTCCTCAACAATAGAAAGATGGAAGGGAGCTCTGGTGGCCTAGTGGCAAGAAGCTGTGCTGCAGTCCCAAAGGAGAGCAATTCGAATCCACCATATGCTCTGCTGGAGAAGGAGGGGCAATCTTCTTTTGTGCCAATCAGATCAGATCCGATTTGACGGTATGCAAAAAGGAAAAAAAAAGAGAGAAAGATGGACAATCTCCTCCCATGTGATTTACACTCTTCCTTGGGAGAGAAAGATGTAGGTAACTCACACTCCTGCCCCCCATATCCTCTCCCTTTCTTCACTTGTGATCATTAATTCTTATTTTGAGTTTTTATATTATTTCCCTTTTTAACTCTAAATAATAACTTTTAGTTCCCTTTGTTTTTACATCAACCTTAGTCATTAACTCAACTCTCATCTGAAAGGAATATTGATGTCTATAAATTGATTCTTAAAAAGTTGAAAATCAAAAAAACATCATTGAGGCTATTAAAATCACTGTTGACCATGTAGAATGTTGTATTGTTATCTAGGAATCCAATGTCAACACTCTGTGGACCATTCTAAGAATCAATTCATCTCTTATATTTTATAAATCGTTTAAAAACATACATTTGGATAATAATTTGAGGTGGTGGAAATGTTCTTTTTAAAACAGTATTATTGACATTTAAATCACATACTGCACAATTTACCAATTAAAATGTAATTCAATGGGTTTTAGCATATTCAGAGAGCTATAGATCACCACAATTAGTTTATGACATTTTTATTACCTCAAAAAAGAAACCCTACAGCCTTGTGTGATAACCTCCCAACTTCCCCATTCTCGTTAGCCCTTCTTGTTGCTGTTGATATTGAGTCAATTCCAGCTCAGAGCAAATTATGTACATCAGACCAAAACCTCACCCCATTCTATGCCGTCCTCACAATCTCCAATGTGCTAAAGACCACTGTTGAGCAGTGCCTGTTTCAATCCATATCCTCTCTTTCTTGTTGACCCTCTACTTTTCCAAATATAATGTTTTACTCCAGGTATTGATCCTTCCTGATAACAAACCTAAAGTAAATGAAATGAAGTCTCACCATCCTTGCCTCAAGGGAGCACTCTGGCTTCACTTTTTCAGAAGAGATGTATTTGTTCTTTTGGCAGACTATGGTATATTCAATGTTCTCCAACACCACAATTCAAAGGCATAAATTATTCTTCAGTCTTCCTTATTCATTATTCAACTTTCAGATACATAAAAAGCAATTGAAAATGCATGTCAGGTGCATTTTTATCTTTAAACTGACATACTTGCTGTACAGTACTTTAAAGAAGTCCTTGACATAAGTTATGCTCATTGCAATATATCTTTTGATTTGACTGATGTTGCCAAGAGTGTTGACTGTGGACTCAAGCAAAATTAAATCCTTTGTCTTCAATCTTTTTTCCATTTATCATATATTGTCTATTGGTCCAGTTGTGATTAGTTTTGTTTTCTTGATGGTGAGGTGTAATCCACATCTTCTTTACTTTGTACAAGTTACTTCATCTCATCTGCACAACACAGGTTGTTGCTGAGTCTTCCTCCACTAGTGATGCCATATTAAGGTTTTGAGCTATTTACTTCATGTACATATTGAGTAGGTATGATGAAAGAATACAACCTTGATGCACACCTT